ATGGCAGCCCACTGCTCACCAAGGGGAAGGATTAAATACTGAGAAGTAATTTCTTCTGAGTATATAAACTCAATATCAAAAATCAAAAGCAGTCCCCATCTCCAGTCCATGGGTGTGCTGCCCACTCTATTGCAGAGGCAGCAAAACATTAGCCAATATCTACTTTCACTGCATGCTTATCCAGGAGGAGGGAATTTTACTCTCACCCATCGGTCTGTTGCATTGAAATGTCTCTGCAAAGTGCCTTAAGATGTGTTGTCAATAAGCACAATATAAATAAACTGCATTGAATTGAATTTCTACAAGCGAAAACATCAGTATGCAAACAGAGTTGGTGTTTCATCTGTTTTCTCTTTTTTTTCCCCCCCAAGTCACGACTTCATTGGAGAGTTTACCACCAGCTACAGGGAACTCTCCAGAGGCCAAAGCCAGTTCAACGTCTATGAGGTGACATATTTCAGAAGAAACGTCTGAGAGGATGTGACAAACAAGGAATATATTTAAACTTTCTTAGTGTAAATCAGTCATACCTGGGGCGTGCTTTGGTGGCGCAGTAATGAGCGCACATTACCCATGTATGGAGGCCTTAGTCCTCGACGTGGCCGACCCGGGTTCGAATCTGACCTCTGGTCCTTTCCCGCATGTCTCTCTCTTTCCCCCTTTCCTGTCAGCCTACTGTCCATAAAAACGAACCACTTGTGCCGTAAAAACAACAACAAAAAAATAATAATAATAATATCAGTCATACTTATCATACTTACAGCTGTGTCTGTGGAACTTTGGAATGCATTATTAGTTAGCTTATCCTTACCAAGCTTTTAAATGATTGCTGTGTTGCTTTTACCCTGTTAATTGGAAACTGATTTAATCACAGCTTTTACATAAGATGTTCCTTTGGCAGGTTGTAAACCATCCTACAACCTAATACACATGGGTTTCTCATTTTTCATTGCTGGTTTCTATAAACACTTTGACAACATAATAACAAACAGATGTTTTACCTTCAAATGTATTTTAGCCATGACGAATCCCATGATGAAGTCAAGTTGATCTAAAGCAGGGGTGTCCAAACTTTTTCTTACCAATGCTAAAGCTTGTCAAATCAAAGTTACGAAGGTCATAAAACATATATAGAAATAAATGAGTGTTTTTTAACGTATTTACCAGATATGCACATCCAATTGTTCCAACTCATTTTCTGTAGAGAACGAGATCTGTAAGTGCTGTAGATCAGTGATTTTTTTATTCATTTTTTTTATTTTATATCCAGTTAGATTAGAAAAAAATGTAAAAAATAAATTACAACAATAACAAGAGAGTTTGGTCGGCCTTTCTAAAAAACTTTGGCTGAAGTTAGCCTGTTTTATGAATGAGTGAATATTGGCACGCTGAACTAAAAAGTACAAAATGTGATTATTGAAAGATGAACACTTTGAGTGTCAGAGGCGTCAACTAACAAAGTACAAATACTTCCTTCCTTCAGTAGAAATGTTGGGTATCTATACTTAACTGCAGTAATTATTTTTAAACAACTTTTGCCTTCTACTCCTTTCATTTTAAAAATAGACTAGTTAGTTTTGTTTAATTTAGGCTCATTTTCATTATGACCTGTTGGTACAAAAAAAAACTAAAATATGCTGAATTTATTTATGCATACTCAAGAAAAATTATTATGAATACCACGTGCAAAATATAGTTATGAAAAAGGACAACTAATACTTGATGTCTATTAGACAGATAAGAACATTTCTTCATGCCTTGTGTACATTGTAAGCAGAAATATGGACATGTGAATTTTTAGATGCATTTAGAATATTCTTTGAAGCATGTTTTTTTTTTTTTTGGAAAACTCCAGGGAAAAAATTGTTTTTGTTTGAGATTAGCATTATTCCTTCAGGAGGAACTTCACGTGGAGCAACAGCAAGTCAAGCATGGAGATTCACACTAGGCCAAAAACAAGAAACCAGGGACAGGAAGAGGAAGACATTGGTTGTCTTAACAAATGTACAAGATGGGCAAAAAAACAACAAAAAAAGAAAGCAAAAAGCTATAGATAAGCTGCTGCTCCAAGTTACTACGGCAAGAGTAAAAATCAAGTCCTAATGATCGCCCCTTCATCCCAAACAATGTCATATTGATAAGAAGTTTAAAACATTCTTTAAAATACACACAAAAAAAATATTTTTCTTTTTAATCATTTAGAGTTAGGCCATCACCTTGATTTGTTCGCTCAATATGACCTGACAAAAAAGAAGATGACTCTCATAATAACATCGTAGCACAAAGGTTAGATTAGGATTCTTTCAAAAGAAAGAGTTAAATTATATTTCTAAGGCTCGGACCTCAGAGGTTAAGTAATGTTTCTTCTGATACATTATGATAAAGGTCTTTCCTGGGATGAGGTGGTAAAACATCCACCCATGGGAACAGAAGGTTCTGCACTGACCGCTCACTTTAATAAAACCTAATTACTTCTCTCCTCTCACTTCGTTCAGGTTTTGAATCCTAAAAAGAAAGGCAAGAAGAAGAAATATGTCAACTCAGGAACGGTAAGACCAGATTTTTATCAGAAGTTGTCAATATATACACTATATTGCCAAAAGTATTCACTCACCTGCCCTGACATCCCCTTCCTAATCCATAGAGGTTTAATCTGACGTTGTTTCACCCTTTGTAGCTT